TATTTGTTAATTAACTTACTTTTCTATAGATAAATTTGAGATAATGGAAAGGCATTTTTTGCCACCTCAGCTTCCCAAGTGTGCCTAGAGCAGAGCAGGGATAATCCTGATTAAACCCACCCTTGGGAAAGAGCCAGGGAAAGCTCATTCTGCTCCTGTGGAAATCCCCCCAGTGTTTTGGGCTTTGGCTCTGGCATCTTTTGCTCCAGAGGGGGATGGTCCTCTTGGGCTGTTCCTGTGGGAATGCTGAAGATTGAATCCATTGCTCTAAAAGCCTTCATTTTTAATTAAGGAATGATCATTTTTAATTAAGGAATGAGCTGCAACCTCTGCTGCAGCTGCTTCTGCTGCCTCTCTGAAGGTGGAGAGAATTCCAGGGAAAACAGCATCAGCTGCAAATCCTCTGTTTCCAAAAATCAACCAAAAATCCGTGATCCAACCCAGGCAGGTTTGCAGAATTCCTCCTCAAGCTCATACAGGAAATTTTAAATTTTTTATTATTAACCCCAATGTTAAGGTGATGGAGGCATTTGCAGGGTCTTGGCTGCCCTGTGGATTTAATCCTGGATGTGGCTGTGAAAGGGAATCTGATGATTCCCAGGAAAGCCTCCAAATACCCATCCAGTGAGATTTAACCATGCACTAGGAAGAAGGAAAAAAAGAGATTTATTCAGTCATATCAGGGCTGTGTTGTCCTGAGCAGTGTGCATGGAAGGAGAGCCCATCTGCAAGAGGGGATATCCCAAAATAAGAAGGAAAATTCAGTGTTTACACCATGCTGGAGACTTGAATCCTCCTGCCTGTGAGTCCTGAGCTGGCCTGGAGGAGCTGCCAAGTGACAGCAGAGCTTCTGCAGGACGGAGCTTCAGCAGCTGCTGCAGCAGGAAAGGGACCTTAAAAAACCTGGATTGGCCGAGGAGAGTGTTTGGGAGCAGCCAAGTGCTGGGATAAATGGGATTGTTGGATTATGGCCTTTTCTGACCCAGAGATGGGGCAACTGAGAGGTGTTTTAAAACTTCTGTTCCATTTTCAGTCTCATGTGAAGGGTGAGACAATAGAGATGTTATAATTCACACCAGCACAATCAGAAGCTAATTATTTCCTAATTACAATACACTCTAAGTGTTTCTTGGCCTGTCAGCTTTTGTCACACCATGCTGTAAATGCCTTAAAGCCAATAATCTAAAATTACCCTCTTAAATCCTGCTACAATACACCTTTCATAATTCTATTTCTCCAAAATACCTAACTTATTTACAAAACCACCCTTTAAAACTTATTTCTAGTTCCATTTCAATGCACCTTTCATAGTTCTATTTCTCCAGAATATCTAATCTTATTTACAAAACCACCCTTTAAAACTTATTTCCGGTTCCATTTCTCAACAATGTCTATCCTATTCCTTAGCATTTCTAAATCAGCATTTCTTATCTCAAAGTTAACATGCAAATATATATTATGTGAGTCTTCTACTTTAAAAACTTAAAAAATTTTCTACAAATCCATTTCCCACATGGGACAAATGGGCTGCCAGGAAGGGCTGCCTGGATTTTCTTTGCCCTTCACCCAGATTCACCCTTGCTGCTGGAATTCTGATTGTGTTTGTGGGTCTGTGTGTGACAGCCAGCCCGGAATTAAAGCACACCCTGTGTGCATCTCAATTCAGATTTATTGCTGCTACACTCTCTGTGCATCTCAATTCAGACTTGCTGCTGCTTGGATTCTAGATTTCAGGGAGTTTATTGGTGCCTGTGGGAATTGAAATCTGCAGTTGTAATTCCTGCTGGACAAGCTGGCGGGATGTGACTGCGTGGATTGAAAGCTGAGGATGTTTCAGGTTTAAAACACTTCACAGAGCATCCCTTCACTCCTCCTGTGGCTGTTCTGTCCTCACAGAGGTCTCTGCAGCCATTTGTGTGATTTAAGATGCCTCTCACACTCCCAGCACTGTCTGAATGGCTTTCCAAGGGGAGCAGCCCCGTGGGTTTTGCTGTACAAAACATCCTGGACGTCCCTCGTGCGCGTTCCTGCCTCTTGGCACAGCTCTGGGAGGCAAATGAAACACCAAGTTCTGCCTGGGGGGAGAAAATAAATCCCAGCTGGGTCTGCCAGCCCTGCCAGGCTCCAGGGGTTTGGGTTCAGGCTGCAGGGGAAGGTGGGGGTTTATTTTGGAGGCCGGGAAGGAAGCGCTGTGCTTCCCTTTCCGAGGGTGTTGCTGCTGGGGTTGGGCTCCTGGAGCTCAGTCCCAGCTCCAGCTGGTGCTGACAGCTCCAGCTGCCACACCCCTGCTGCCTTCACCTGGGGCTCCTTGGCTGGGAGGGTGGCAGTGATTTCTGGTCACCCTTGCATGTGTGCAGCTCATTCATGGAGTCCTGGAAGGGTTTGGCTTGGAAGAGAGCTCAGAACCCACCCAGTTCCACCCTCATGTGCAGGGACACCTTCCACCATCCCAGGCTGATCCAAGCCTGTCCAACCTGGCCTTGGGCACTTCCAGGGATCCAGGGGCAGCCACAGCTGCTCTGGGCACTCTGTGCCAGGGCCTCAGGGAACAATTCCTTCCCAATATTCCATCCAACCCTGCCCTCTGGCAGTGGGAAGCCATTCCCTGTGTCCTGTCACTCCCTCCCCTGTAAATAATCTCTCTCCATCTTTCTTGTGGCTTCCTCAGGCACTGCAAGGCCACGGTTAGATCAACTCACAGCTGCTTTTCTCCAGGCTGAGCAATCCCAGCTTTTCCTCACACAGAGCTGCTCCATCCCTCTGCTCCTCCTGCTCTGGGCTCCCTCCAGCAGCTCTGTGTCCATCACATTCAGCAGCTCAGAGGGGCTGCTGGATCCTCAAACACCTCTGAGATCTGCAACCTGTAGTAAACTTCTAAATTCCACGTCTGGGATCTCTAAGGTGAATTTGCAGTACTTGGAGACTTACCTGAGCTCAGATAAATGAATGATAAATTGATAATAGTTGATAATATGAATAAATTGATGAATCTGATAGGTAGATAAATATGAAGTAGCCAGTGCCTGATGGTAGTAGATGGGAAGAGCCTGAGCTGAAATATTCAGCGTTGCTGTGCAGCTGTAACCCCAACAAATCAGTAACTCATGAATTGGGACTCTGGTGAAGGTTTATAAACCTTTGATCAGGTTTAACCAGGCTGCTGCCATTCCCTGGCCTGCAGGGATTGCTCCAGGCAATCCTGAATCCCTTGCAAAGCACCCAAGGCTCTGGTCAGGGTGTAAAACTCAGCTCCACAAGGCAGCTGCTAAACATTTGCCAGCCTCTTTTATATCTAACTAACCCGTGGGACAGGCACAGACCTTCCCCTTCCTGCTAGAACCAGCATCTCACTGTTAATTGAAAGTGTTAATTACTCTCAGGCCCAGAGTGTTGTTTTTGTGCCGTGGCCTGAATGGTTAATCAGCAGTGTAAACCCAAATCCCCTTCTGTTAGGCATAAATGTTACTGATTCCAAATGCCTTTGGTTTTTTCCTCCCCCTGATTTTTGGTGCCAACTCGTTCAGCTTTCAGTAGGGCAGAAGTTGGACTCCATCACCAGAGTCCATTGTAATGATTTCTTGGATTTTTTTCTGAGTAGACAAGGCTTGTGCAAGTTTGCATGCTTTTCTATATTTGGTTTTGTTTAATTTGATTGTACAAAGCTGTTGAAAAGTCCAGCTGAATGTTTCCACTTTCTGCAGAGCTGATTGTGCCATCAAGCCAGGAGTTCAGAGGGAAAATCCAGCTCGTGCTGGGTTTTCTCAGTAATCCCAAGCTCCAGATCCTGGTTTGAGATAGGGACAGACAAAAGTTCATTTGTCACCTTGTTCTCAGTCTAATTCAGATGTGGCTTGTGGGGACAATCTTCACTCTCACAGGATCATGGAATATACTGGGCTGGAACCACGAGGATCATCCAGTCCAGCTCCTGTACAGGACACCAGGAACCCCAGCATGGTGCTGGTGCTGGATTGTGTTCCTTCAGTCCCTTTGGCATTGTCACCTAATCCTGGAAATCCTCCAGTCCTCTGGAATTGCTCCTGCCTTTCTGGCTGGTGCCCCGTGGTGCTGAAGGGTGGAAACAGGAGCTGTTGGAATAAATGTCAGCTGGTGGTTTTAATTTGGGTTAAACTGGTGTTTCATGGTGGAAATCCAGGATCACAGGGGGATCTGGAGCTGAAAACTGAATTATTCTATTACTGAATATATTACTATATTATATATAACTCCATTCTCTTTTCTGTGTGGTGGAAGGACATGGCACCGTTATTTGTTGTCAGAATGCTCTGCAGGGCCAGATGTTGGTGAAAAATATTCCAGGTGCTAGGGAAAATACTGCACAAGGTTTATCTCTTGGAGTTATCACCGTATTTTGGTTCCCCAAGTGCTTCCCAACCTGCAGGTGACCTCCAAGGACCCCATGGTTACATCCCTGCTGGAAGGAGATGTGGCTGTTGAGTTTTCTTGGTCATTTGTGAGGCAATTTTTCGTTTCAGTGGGGAATTTTTAGGGTTTTTTGTAGAAACTGAAGGTCCTGTTGAATTCTCCTTGCAAAACTCCTCCTGCTTCTGTTTTCCATGTGTGCCAAGGTGGTTGGGCTCACCTTGGGATAGCACAGGTATCCCGGATAGTGGGGAAAACCCCAAGAATTGATAGTTAACCCCAAAAACTGTGCAAAATCCCTGCTGGGAGAAGTGTTGGGTCACTCATGACGCCTTGGCTTCGTGTTCCAGGTGGGATCACTGCCAGGCTGGTGATCCACACGCACGCTGAGTCTCATCTTTATTTTATCCCTTGGATTCTTCCCTGCTTTTATATCCCATCAAAACACTACTGAATACAAGCAGTTCCTTGTATCCAGAAAGGGCTGTTGGGAGTTTTTTGGATCCATAGTTCTTTCTCAGGAAAGGAGAAAAAAAACCCCAAAAACTTTAAAAACTCCTTTTGTCCTCGTTCTGGTGCCGCTTTTAACTGGGGGGAAAATGGCTTCTTTGTTGCAGATGTCAAGAAGGACTGGTCTGATCACGCTCTGTGGTGGGAAAAGAAGAAAACTTGGCTCCTTAAAACTCACTGGACGTTGGATAAATACGGGATCCAGGCGGATGCCAAGCTCCAGTTCACTCCTCAGCACAAACTGCTGCGCCTGCAGCTGCCCAACATGAAGTACGTCAAGGTCAAAGTCAACTTCTCTGACAGGGTCTTCAAGGCTGTTTCTGACATCTGCAAAACCTTCAGTAAGTGTTGAAAACCTCCCCCCTCTTGAGGAGTTTTCTGGTTGGTTTGGCTCCTGCCTTTGCTCTGGTGCTTGTCCTGTAAATTTGATAAATTTTTGGTGTTTTCTGGCTTTGGGCACTCAGGAGTTGCTTGGACATCAAACAGCCAGGTGTCCTCTCTTTTTCTGTTCCGGATCTAGTCCTTTGTGTGTAAATACTTCAATAACAGGACCAATTGAGCCAAAAAGTGATTAAAAAATGCATTTTTTTGTGCTGAATTCTCTTCCACAGCAGAGCTGTCCTTGGGTTTGTCATAGGTGAGGTGGTACCAGCCCTGCTTGTTATTCAGACTGGTTGTGATTTTTTTTTCCCCTCCCTGCAAATTTATGTGCTGGATGAAAAGCAAACCCTTAAATGGGAAATCTGCCAGCCCTGTGGGTTGTCTTCTAGTGGAAAATCATATTAGAGATTAAGTGGTGATGCTCCACTGTAAAAGTGTCTGGTGGAGGGAAGGAACTGAGTCCTGCTGTCTTCTCTTCACCCTCATTTCCTGGTGGAGGAGAAGCCCATGAGAAAGGAGACATCATTCCCTACCAGGTATCATTTTTTACCCATCTTCACAAATTCCTCATCCCAAAACCCAATGTTTCTTCCTTCCCACCAACAAAAAACCCAGTAAGGGGATGGCAACTCCAGGAAGCACTCCATACTGGAATTCTCCCCTCCCAAAAGGGCCTGCAACCCATCCTCAGCTGTAGCAAATCTGTTCCTGCTCTCAGAAGGCAGCTGAGGTTACTCTTGGCTGACCCAGTTGTTTGGGGAGGCAGGAGGAGCTCATCCCTACGTGCAGTGTCCAGCACATCCGTGGTTTGGTTGGTATTTTTAGCTGGTTACGGAGCTTTGCTGTTGCTTTCCTGTTTTGTTGGGTTTTTTTTTTAATATAAATATTGGGCAATTTCTCCTTAAAATAGAAAAGGCTTAGCCAGCATTGTGTCTGGGTGGATTTTGCTTCCCCCACCCCCATGTCCCACATTTGGGCATTTGGGATGTCGTGCTAGACAGGGAGGTCCCAGGCTTGGACGCTGATGAATCTCTCCAGCAGTGACTCACGTCAGGAAATTCTGATATGCTTCATCACGAGACAGGAGATCTGTCACTGATGCTGTCAGAACTTTATGTGGATCTCAAGCAGCCTTTTCTTCCAACTTCAGAGCTTTTGGTGGATTTATGACCAAACCAGCAGAATAATCCTGATATTTAAAGGTTTGGGAGCCTCTGGGATAGCAGAGGTTGGAGCTGTGAGCAGGCAGCAGGGGCACATCCATCCAGGGTGGTGCTGACTTCCCTTCTGCAGCATCTGAAGTACTGACATGAAGTTCCTGATTTTGGGGAAAGCAGGGCTTTTACTGGAAATTTCACTTTCCTTTGAGTGCCTCTCAGCAGCCTGAGCTGTCTGAGGACAGACACAAGCTGCAGTGATTAAGTTGTTTAGCCCTCCCAGTTGTGTTTACTGGGAGCCAGATGTTCAGCAGAGCTACTGGGAAGATGATACATGAGCTTGGCATCAGCGTGAGGGAAGAGGGACTGGGATGTGGGGGTGCAGAAGGGCTGGAGTTGGAGGGGCTGGGATGCTCTTCCCAGAACCAGAGAGGTATAAATATAAATGATGTACAAATATATTTTATATAAGTGTTAAATTTCTCCTATAGGTGTTGAAATACCACTATTTATAGATGTCATATCTAATGTGTTTTTTATTTTTATATATATATATATATATATATATATATATAACATAATTATATATTATCTAGTATATTATGTTTTATATATATATAACATATATATATTATATATATTATATAATATGTTATATATATCTAATATATTATATGTATTAAGTATATTTATATACGTAATACATATTTATATATTAATATAAATATATACTTATTTATATACTTATAATTTATATATTTAATACATCTATTTTATATATATAATATACTTAATACATATATTGTATGTACTAAGTATATTATATATATACTTAATACATATATACTTAATATGTATATATATTTTATATATATATATTATTCATTAATATAAAAACCCATATATTATAAATATATATATATTTCATATTTGGATCAAAATCTTGGCTCTGAGGGTGCCCAGAGCAGCTGTGGCTGCCCTTGGATCCCTGGAAGTGTCCAAAGCCAGGCTGGACAGGGCTTGGAACACCCTGGGATAGTGGAAGGTGCCCTTGCCCATGGCAGGGCATTGGAATGGGATGATCTTTAATGTTTTTTCCAACCCAAACTATGCTGTGATTTTGTGATTTTATGATTTTCCTTTTCCCCTCCTCATTAGTGTTTTCCTGCCCCATTTTATTTCATTACCTTTCCCTGCCCTTCTCAACATTCCTGCACAGAGCTCTCATATTCCATCTTAATCAAGCTAATTGTCTCTCCAAGGAGAACTGAGCAGACATTTCAAGGTGGAAGGGAAGGTGATCCCAGCATAGTCCTTGTCTCTGAAATCCCCTGATTTCTGAGCTCCAGGACAGAGCTGTGCCTGGGGGTTGCTCAGATTTTGGCTGTACCTGTTTGCTGTCACTGCCCCTGGACCATTTAATGACACACCTCAGTAACTCCAGCACAAAGCATCACCAGTGAGTAATTGAAGTAATTCCTGATGTTCTCAGGCCTCTGGCTGGTTGCATTTATAAAATCCTCACTACACAAGCAGGAACACACATGGATGAATTATTTAAGGCTGTCTTTAGCTTCTGTTCCCTTTCAGTTGTTACCCAGAGGTGTGACCCTTGCAGAGTGGGGTTGATTTTTAAAGAGAAGTCTCTGTTCTTGTGCAGAGGGAGGTTATTCCAAAGGGCAGCTCCCCAGGGCTCCCATGCTGGAGCCACTCACACATCCCTCACTTTCCTGGAGGTCGTGTGAAGCCGGAAAAAACCCCAATCTCAGTCCCAGTGCTGGATTGCAGCCCCTTGATTCCCACAGCAGCCACTCAGGAGGGTTGAAGGCAGGGATTGACCCTGGCAGGCAGGAGGAGAGGAGCAGGCAGGGCATGGCATGGGCAGCCCTCATCCAAAGGGTGGCCTGGAACCCTGCCCAGGAGCAGCTGCTGGCAGGCAGCTCCAGCCTGAAGGGCCAGCTTTGATCTGCAATTAAAGACCAGAGAAAGAGAAAGTAAAACTTCAAATTTCTTTTTTTTCTTTTTTTTTTTCTTTTTTTTTTTTTCCCTGAGCAGCAGGGATTTATGCTTCCTGCCTGGCTGGCAGTGGGACAGGGGGGTTGGGATGGGATGATCCCTGCTCTCATCATCCCACTGGGAGATAATTGCACCCAGAAAACTGCCCATCAAATATCCAGCTGCAGATTGGATGGGCTGTGATGCCTTGAGAAGGCTGAGCAAGAACAGAGGCTGGATGGAGTCACAGAATAAAGCTGGGATTTATTCAAAGCATCTCCTCCATGGATGCACCTTGGGCAGCACCAGAGCCCAGCCAGGGCTGCACCCAAGATCAACCAAAATGGCCCCAAAATGCACGGCCGGGCACGGGCTCTGTCCCTGGGATCAGTTCTGCTCCATTTGCACCTTGCAGTTCATTGTCCCATTCCAGCTTTAGCCCCTGCAGTCCCACCCTGCTTGTTTTTCTCTCTCCAGCCCACGGGGTTTGTGCTCTGGGGCTGAGATTTGGGTCATTTGTCCTTGGTGCCCAGCTGGAGCAGGAATTGTTTTGTCTCCCTGCTCTGTGCACAGAGCTCACCATCCCTGATATGAAGCCCAGACCCTGACACTAAAGCAGCACAAAATCTGAAAAATAGAAAAGCTAAACCTGAGGCATCAGCTGCACTCAGCATTTTATTGGTGTGAGTGGGAATATCCTCATTAAAGGTGGGATTTGGGGAGGTAGGAGATGCTCACACATCATCCAACGTAACAACAAATGGCAAAATCTTCCGATGTGAACAGGAGGGAATTCTCAGCTGTGAGGGTAGTGAGACACAGGGTGCCCCGAGCAGCTGTGGCTGCCCCTGGATCCCTGCAAGTGTCCAAGGACAGGGCTTGGAGCAGCCTGGGACAGTGGAAGGTGTCCCTGCCATGGAAGGGAACTGGATGATCTTTAAGGTCCCCTCCAACCCATTCTGGAATTCTGGGATGGCTTCACTTGATTCCAGCCCAGTGGATGCCTTACAGCTGCTTCCCTCCAGCTTTCTGCCTGCATTTTTTCTCCAAGGGACTCCAGGCAGGCTCTGCTGCTGCTCTGTGGGCACGTGGGACAGGAAAAGCAAACAGCAAGATGAAACAGTGAGAGTTTTTTCCCAGGCCTCGGCGTTTCCTGCCCCAGCAATGCTCCTTCTCCTGGGGACACGACTTATGTTGGAGCTGTAGGGTGAGGGGAGATGCTGTGACAGCAGAAAACCTCCCATCCTTCTCCTCTTCCCCTGACTGTGAAGATTTGGGACCTCTGCTGCCCTCCAGCCTGAGAAGAAGAGCAGGGAAAATTCTGGTTGATGTTCATGGGAGCACAGAGAGAACAACTCAGTGCCAGGGCTGAGAGGAGGAAGCTTTGGGAGAAAACACTCCAAAATTCATGAGCAATCCCTCCCTACCCACCCTGAGGCTGTGTAGGATGGAGAAATCCCCTTCAGGCTCTTTTATTTCCCCAGAGTCTGGTAGAGCTCACACCCAGCTCCTGCCTCATAATCCCTGTGAATTAGTCACCTGTTTTGGAAAACTGAGTCTGGGGAGCATCCTGTGCCCAGCTGGGGCATTTCCATGCCCACATTCCATCTTGCTCTGGTCTCCAGCTCCCCTTCTTGCACAGGGTGAGGGTGGTGTGATCCTGAGGAGCTGGTGGAGCTGGGGGTGCAGAGAGTCCCATGAGGGTGCAGGGCTCCTTCCCATCACCCCAAAAATAAGGAGGTTCCCGAGACTGAGCGGGCGGTGGGAAGGTGACAGCCAGCCTTGCCTGCCTCAGCCTCCAGCCACCA